GTCAACCCTTGTCCTAAAGTCCACATCATGAGTTTGTATTGTTTTAGGGTCAGTTGAATATTAAGTATGCCAAGGCATTTCTCCCTCTTTCCATTTTTCTCTTTTCTTTATTTTTTTCTTCCTAAATTGAAAAAAAAAAAGAAACTACCTGTTGTTTTGGGAGAAACTTACCCATAATTATTACCCTCCTACACAGCTGTTTTCATTTTTTTATTTATTAATGTCCTTGTCCATATGTATGAATGCCTCATGTGATTAAAGTAATGTTTTATATGATTAAAATTACAGAGAAAATTTAGAAATCTTAACAAAAGGGAAAAAAAAGTCCTGGGACTAATGAAAAATATACTGTGGGAATAGAAAGGACAGGATGAATATTAGGAATTTGAGCCATATTAGGCCCAGTTGATTTGTCTAATTTCAAAAATAAGGTCCTACAATTATCTTAAAATGAATATGCCTAAAATTTACCCTATTGTTTGCCTTTAGGTTTTCAATTGTTTTAGATAGAAAAAGCTAAATAAAGTCTAATATATTTTTGCTTTGTGAAAAGAAGGTGACTCAGATAGAAAGGTTTGTGCTTGAGGGTTTTTTCTACCACTTATTGACTCTGTGATCAGGATAACACTCTTTACCTTTATGAATTTCAATTGGGATACAAATTCTTAAATCACAGAACATTTTAATGACTAAATTTAAAATGCCTGTGTTGAATTTACATTCCATGAAAATGCCTGTAACTACATAGAGACATAGATAAATAAGATGTATTACTACTGTCTTTTTTACAACTATTGTCATCATTAGTGTAATAATGTCCTTTTGTACAAATTTTGATAGTTTGACATCCTGGATGGGTTATGTACCTGACTCCAAAGTCTTATGAGGAAGCCAGGCTCCACAGTGCTTGTCCAAGAGCACTTGCTGGTGAGTCACAAGGCAGTGTGAATGTATCTTAATTCCTGTTTGAAGTGTCCTTTTTGATAGACACGCCATAGCTGTTTAGCAGCATTTAAACATTCCTTGTCTGCATGAGAAATTACATCAACAGCATAACATTATCTTGTTTCTGAGTATAAAAATAACACTGGGACAATTAAAAAATAAAGTGTAAAAGCAGATTACTATTTCTCTGTAGTGGAGAATAACCTTGAACGTATTGCCTCCTGATCTCTTTTTCTCACCATATGGCTGTTTTCACTTGCTGTAACGTGTGAGTATTTTTCCGTGTTTATCTTGCTACTTTTCTTGGTCAAGTTTTGTTATATATATAAAATAACATCTTAAGAGCGGGCAAATGACTTCTTACAGAAAGATGAAAATACTCTTACCTGCATATTTTGCAAGCTGTAGAGTTAACTTACAGAGGAAATAGGCCTGAGCAGATCTAGTTACTAAGGTCCTACACGTCGTTTGCTTGGAGAGGATTAGAATGTGGTGCCAGTGTGGGATGGGGGGGCAAGCACAGGCATTGCCTTTGGACGGACCTGGCTGGATCCTGGTTCCACCCTTCGCTGTGTGATGTTGAACAAGCACTTAGCCTCTCTGACTTTTCGCTGTCTTTAAAATGGGATGAACAATGCCTGCCGTTCAAGGCTTTTGTGGGATTAGAGACAACAAATATGGCTAAAGTGCCTGACCTGCTATCAGGATGTGTTAGGCAGAGGATAAACGAGAGTCAGAAGAAGCCTAAGAACTAAGATTTGCGTTATGGAGAACATGATACAGTTACATACACATACATGATACAGTTTTAATAAACTAAGATACTTCCGTGTTTTAAATATTTGTTTGTATAACATGCCAACTTCCCTTCCTCTTGCAAAGATATTACTGCCAAAAGAGTCATGGAAAGTGATGGGTGCCTATCTTGAAGATGCACTCTACTCCAGCAGGCCCCATTCTAGGTTGTGGTGTTCGCCTCATCTTGGGAAGGTCTGAAGCATGGTGGGGACCTAGTTAGGTTCTGGAGATTCACAGATGAGCTTCTAAGGGACATGCACAATCTAGAGCAGTGTAAATTGGCCTTTTCTGCAAGAGATCTAATTCAGAAAAGCAAAAGCCTTTTCACCACACTTATTAAAAAAAGGATTCGGCATGAAAATAGCTTTAGTGACCCCGATTGTAGTAGGCAGGGCTTAGGGGTATAAATACTGAAAACTTAAGTTGTTTGTTAACATACCAATGTAAGTGGGGAACAAAAGGTATTTCTTTTAGCCAGCAAGGGGTTAATACCTGAATGTGTCTGTGGAAAAGCCACACTGAGGCTATTTTCTTATCTTTATTTCCAAATAAGGCTAGAAAGTTAGAGGGATCCACTCATGTCTGATCCAGGAAGAATTAGAGAGATAGTCACATCCTAAGTAAGAATACTAGCAGGGCAGGGCTAGTAGGGCAGTGTACTGTAGTAATATATGTAGGTGTGGTACTTGGCAAGTAGTTCTTTTAAGGGACACAGGACAACGTCTCCAAGAAAATGACACTTAGGTGGCACCAGGGACCAGTTTCATGGAAGAAAACTTCCATGGACCAAGAATAGGGAAGAGGAATATACAGTCAAACCTCACTGCCAATGTTAATCTGTATTTGCAGCTGCTCCCCAGTGCTAGCATCACCACCCAACTCCTCTTCAGATCATCAGGCATCGGATTCTCAAAAGGAGCATGCAGCCTAGATCCCTTGCTTATGCAGTTCACAGTAGGGTTCGTGCTCCTGTGAGAATTTAATGTCATAGCTGATCTGACAGGAGGTGGAGTCGGGCGGTAATGCCAGCAATGGAGAGCAGCTGCAACTAATGGTGAAACTTTGCTTGCTTGCTCGCCACTCAGCTCCTGCTGTGTGGTCCTAACAGGACCAGGGTTGGGGACCCCTGGTCTAGCGGGATGCGTAGACATTCTCTGGGAAGGATAGCAGACTTCCAGGCCCAGAGAATAGTGTATGTACGACACAGAGTGTGTAGTTGAGTGCTACTCAGAGATGCAAAGATGTGGATTACATAGGGCAGGAGGAAGGGGCATGGGCGGAGTGAGCTTGGAGCCACTGAACTAATGCCAAGTCCATATTATTGAAAAGACAGCAGCATTTTAATTCCCATTCCAGAGGAATGCTGAATACCAGGTAAAAGCAGAAAGAATAATGGAGACAGTCAGTAAAATCATAATTTTTAAGACACAGAAGAAACACTTAGCTGTGCCCTTGCTGACGAAGAAGTAAAAGATGTCCCTCCCCAAACATGCCAGTTTGGTGTATTGGTTATTTTAAGTTGAAAACACTGGAGAAGTTGCGGTTTCAGAAAGAGCAGCTCGACCTGTTTCTTCCCACCTGCGGCAAACCGCAGAGATTCTCCTGGGAGGGAGGGGTCTTTGCTGTAGCAGGTTGAGAAACTGGAGACTGGAAATCCAGGCCTACAGTGGACTGAAGAAATGTACCTAATGAAGCAACCCATGTCTTCTACCTGTTGTATACCCCCCGATATGTCATCCCCTAGTGACTCCTGTAGAAAATTTGCCACCCCCAACCAATTTTCTTTGTCTGTCACTTCTTCTCAAATGTATTGCTCTTTGTCTAAAACGTATAAAAGCATCTTGCTTTGGCTACTTCTTTGGACATCACTCTCACAAAAATCCCGGTGTACGTGTAAAACTAATAAAATGTGTGTGCCTTCTCTTGATAATCTGTGTGGTGTCAATTTGGCTTCTGGATCCAACTGAAGAGAGCCCACTAACAGCTAAAAGGGGACTTGGAGGTGGTCTCTGCCTCCTGCGCACTGAAGTCAGACCACTTTAAGGAGAGTGAGAGTCTTACTCCAGTCCAGCTAATAGGCACATGCTTCACAGGAGTGTCATCCCTGTCACCCCACATCAGGAATGTATCAGCATGGCAAGCAGCCTGATTGATGAGACATCGAAACCACTTGCCATGACTTGTCATAGAAAATGCTGAAATCCGTTATGCGCTCAATTGCTGATGCCGCCCAAACTTGCGTTATTCACCACTGATTTGAGTAAAGACAGCTTTGCAGAGAGAAGCTTATCGGAATGGCAAGAAAATACATACGTGTTTATATCTATTTCTCCTTAAAAATTAAGACAGTGACACTTTGACAGGGGATCAGGCAGGATCCTCAAGTAAATTAGAAGAGTGGAAATCGTAAGACTCACGCTATTCTTGTTGTGTTTTCTCATAACTATTGTTCTGATTTTTAACCTTCACTGTACGCATTGGATGAGGAGTCAGGAAACCAGGATTCTACCCCCAGCCTTATCACTTTCTACACATCTGCCTCATCTCAGTCACATGGCTTCACTTTTCTAGCCCCCAGTTTCCTGATCTCTCAAATGAAAGGATTTTCAGATCAATTCCATAGGATATAGCAGAAATGCTTCAAGGCCACTCTGGAAGATGAAGGGAGGCCTCCTGCCAGCCATTCCCTTTCAGATAGAGCAGCTTCCCTTTTATTTGTATTGTAAGTTGGCGCCATTACGAGACTTTTTTGACAAAAAGGATTCTCTCACTTTTTAAAAATTTGCAAAATCACTGAGCTAGGTGTTCCTTAACAGCCTCTCCAGCTCAGACACGGTTTTCACAGCGATAGAAAGGGGATAACAATAGTTCCTGTTGTTAGTTTTCTACGGGTAAACAATATATCACATGTAGAACAAGGCACCGAGCATAGGAAGCATCCATTGTGTGAGCTTAGTCCCTGCCACCCCTAGCCCCAGCAGGTCCCCCACGAATAAGACTGCCTTTCCTGTGACTCATACTTGTGAGTATGAAATGATGGCCTGAAAAAACGCCTAATGCCTAATCTATCTGCTCTCTACCAACAGCACTAGAAAAATGTCTTGTACGTTTACTCTGTGAATTTTTAATATATTTGATTTCTGCTTTTTGTACCTAGCTATTTTCTCTTGCAACCAGAAGTTTTCTTCTGCTATATCAGATTTTTAAAATAATTATGATAATGCATTTATGAAAGTTCCCACCTTGGTGTGTTCCAGGCTTGCCAGCTCTTGGGAAAGTGACATCAGCGTCCACACCCTCACCCTGCCCTCTGCAACTTGCCTGGAGCTGCTGTTGATACTGTCAAGGAACACTGCCATGCTGCCTTTGTCCCTTCGCTGTATGAATTCCTTTCAGGTAAGGAATGGCTTATTCTCTAGGGTGTGACTTCTCTGTTTCACTTTGAATTGCTTCTCAAGGATCCTGTCTTTCCCAGGAGATTGCCCATGGAAATAAAATGAGAACGATAATAAGCAAAATGCACATCTTGCCTTGTCTATCTCTCTTTAAACAAAGGAACAAAAGGGGGCTCAAAACGGATTGGGCAACTGGCCATGGCAGAAGCAGGAGCTCTCTAACTCCAGGATTCGTCCTCTCACCCCATCTTTCTTGGCTCTGGTAGAAGTGCAGGAAGATCTGGCAAAGACACGTGTGAATGCCACTTTGCTTTTTCCAGGTTTGCCCTCAGCCAGAGTTTTCAACGATTTCTGTGGTTTTTGCGGCTGTTGGCTTGAAGTCAGATGGCCAAATGGATGTTTAACAGGGACGGGACCCTGCCAGTTCTCCGTACCATTTCCCTCTCTCTTCACAACCCCTTCCTTACCACTATCCCACTCTCCTGGATATTTGTTTGTGCTCCTAGTACAACTCACGACTAACCAGTAGGAAGACCCCTCCTCCCAGATAACCAGCTAATTGTCAAATGAGGTGGCAGATGAGAATTAGGAGGTTAACTGGTGGCTTAAGTTGTGACCCTGTAACTACTGAATGTAATTGCGCTTATCTATGACTCTTGATGATGGGGAGATCATCACGAGCTCTCTGATGCTTGTGAAGACTGCATACATTGCTGAGAAATGTATAAACAGGGGTTTCTTCTACCTCTGAAGGTTGCTGTTGTATCTTGAGAAAACTTGGGGAGTCATGTATATTGCTTGGTGTACCTGTTATATGCTAAAACAAGACATGTAGATCTTCCTGTGAATTTTATCTCAAGAAACTGATAGAAAATAACTGCACCAATATAACTTATGTCCTTGTTCTCTTGGAGGTCCGTTACAAGAATGAACCCTGTGTTGTTCTTCCTGTTTCTGAGCCTTGGGTACTGCTGCAGAGTTCAGTCTTTGGCCTTCGTGATCCCATTGATATTTTTCGTTCCTCCATCAGCTTCAATCCTGGACTCTGCAAGGAACCTTAAAGGATACCTTCTCATTTTGTGGAGAGGAGATTAAGATTTAGAGCAATAGAGTGCGTTGGCCAGGGAATACCCAGTGGGTCAGAGGTTGAACTGGACTCACCAGACCTCTGCGAGGGATACGCCATCTGCCACCCACTGCTGAGCTCTCTGAGGTCCTCGGGTTGGTGGACTGTGAATGGTGCGTGGAGGCAGGCATATCTCCTTGGGATGTTCACACCCGAATCCTTCCTTGCTTGGCGGTGATTTGTCCTTATTTGCCTGCTGCCTTAAGCCAGAAATGATTCCAAGTTCTGTGTATCAATCCTTGTTTCTTCTAAGTTTTGTTCATTGGCTTGAGTAACACAAAAGTTTATGAATGTCCACAGACGTTTATGGAGGGAGATGCAGGAAGCTTAACTGTGGTTATCTTTGGGGAGAGAAGCTGGGAAACAATTATTTTTTATTTCGCTCCCTCCCTCATAAACTCTTTGAAATTTTTATATCATCTGTGAGTGGGGAGCAAGAGAAATGAGTCTGATTTTGAGGATTTTATGGCATATTGGAGGAAATAGGACAGTCATCCATGTGTGAGGCAACCTGAGAATAATTTTATTACAAAGTAACCTCAACAGGGGCCTTAAAGTGATTAGAAGTAAAAGGGTAATCTAAACCGACTATGAGAGATTTGAGAGGAGGGCCAATCTGCATTTCTTCCCCTTAAGACCAAGGAGGTGTTACCCCCTTTTAGGATGTGGTCTCAGTGTCAGGTATGCATGGGTGAGTGAAGCCTGGCCTGCTGGTGGTGGCATTAGTGTACACTTAGCAGCTTTAGCCAGAGGAGCTCTCAGAGTGGTGTGGATGTTAATTGCTGAATGTCCCTCTCCATGGGTGGTGGTTGTCATCTAGTTTGAGAGTCCATTTGCTGAATATTATTGTCAGAGGGACGTATACTTTGCTGATTTCAAAGGTACAGAGAAACTGGGCAGAGTCTTGTGAACAGTGTCTGCTGGAGTTTGTCCCTGATATTTTTATCAGGGACATACCAGGAGTTGGCTTCCCTATGCAGGCCTTCGCTTCAAGATAAAGAATCAGTGGAAAAGGGAAAGGCGCCTGTCAGGATTAGAAAGGGATGCTCTGCTTTTTCATCTTTCTAACACCTGCCTAATCATTTATTACAATGGCAAGGAATGGGGCTGCTAATTTTGCCTGTGTTTAGCAGTGGTTTGTAATTGGAAACTCACTTTCATGTACACTTTCTTTAAGAGCTATGTTGGCAAGAGCTGTAAAATAGCAGAATGACACTTGTTCAAGATACCATCTTTACATTTCCAATTCTCTGACTTTCCAGACTGAATCACTGGGAGCAATGCTGCTTTTTCTGTAATGCTGTCTTTTTAGGCTTACTCCTGCTTGAGCTGTTATCACTGCCTAGTCCCAAAAGGAAGGGTTTGTCTTATTCATTAGCGCGATTAACACATGTGAAATTCTGACTTCTTAAGGCACACTGGCACATTTCTCTCAGACCAACAGGGATCTCTTTTGGAGATTTTTGTTGTCATTCTGGCTTCTACTGTGTTACAGTACCTTAACATTCCAGGTCCGGCTATGAACCAGCAGGATGTAGATGTTGGCTGAGAATCACTGACACGTTGCTAAGCACATGCTGTAGTTGTAGCGTCCCCAAGAAGAGGAATGTCCTTACTGTTCTGGTCATATCACTCCCTACTTGAAGCTCTTCCGTGGCTTCCTGCTGCAATGAAAAAAATCCAAACTCCCTATCCTGGCCTGGAAGGCCAGGCAGACTCCCTTTCTGACCCCATCTTCTGTTCTCTCCCTCTCACCCCCTCTGTTCCAGGCACACTGGCCTGATTTTCCCCTCCTTGTCATGAGCTGCTTCTGGCCATAGGGTCTGTGTCCTGACAGTTTTATCTGCCACTAGGAGAGTCTTCTGCAGTAGGTCTTTGCATGACTGGCTTCTTCTTTTCTTTCAGTTCTCAGCTAAGATCTCCCCTCCGTGGAGAGGTCCAACCTGACTCCCCTTCTCCCCATCACCATTACTCTGTAACCTCACCTTGTTTTGTTTCCTTTGTAACATTTTTCACTCTTTGATCTTGTTAACGTATATGCCTTTTTCTTCTACTAAAATGTGTATTGAGCGAGAACAGGGAGAATGTCTGTTTTTGTTCACTGTTGTGTGGACAGAACTTATAACAGTGCCTGGATGTAGGAAGCAGTTAACAAATATTGGATAGCTGGATGGGTGGAAATGCAGATTGATGCAGCCATGGAACATTCTAGAAATCTAAAAGGCAGAGCTGAGGAGCACAGAGGCATGAGAAGTATACACCCAGGGCAGAAGCAGCAGCCCTTTCTCTTTGGGACAGTGCTAGACTCAACAGGTAAGGTCTGGATTTAAGATGCACAAACAAGGTTGAGCACAGCTAGGTGTCTGCCTTGAAATCGCAGCCTGGTGCTTTGTACAAAAGAGCAAGCCATAAAGAAGAGTTCAGCCCTTAGAAAGAGCGAGCAAGATTTAGACAAGCAGAGTGATCAGTGTATAGGCTGGAGTTCCCTGTGAACACCGGAGAACACAGCAGGGAAAGCGGGAGTGACGCCCAAGTTTTGATGCCACAGACCAAGGCAGAGGGGATTGGAGGTGCCAGGAGAGGTGTCTGTCCTCTGGAGAGCGCAGGTTGCAGCCTGCTACTGCCACTGCTGTGCCATTTGATTTTGTTCCGTGTTCTTCAGAACCCTGGTGTGAGGCGGCTCAGGGCCATTTCCATATCCATCTTGCTGGGCAGCAGTCGGCTTTAACCTGATGTCCTGCAATGTCAGCTTTAAATCTGAATAAGGTCTCTGCAAGGTAGACCCTTAAAAACAACCAAGTTGGAACCAGGACTGGACAAGGACTGCTGGTTTTATTGGTAACAGTGCCCTTTTCCTAAAATTCTAGCCTGTTATAGCCAGAAGGACTAACTAGTCCAATGGTCTTATTTTTATGGGTAAGGAAACACACACTCAAGAAGGTTAACTGGAAACTGAAACTGACTTCTTTGTTGTGCTTTTTGAGCTGCCAGGGATGTTGACTTCTCTTCAGGTCGAAAGGGGATTTTTCTGTACTTAGGATTTCTCTATTCCATGGGACCTGGCCTCCTTAGGGTATAGATAGATTTTTATAAAAGTAATTAAGTGTTAATTATCATATAATAATAAGGCAAATTATAACAGCTGTTTTTTTAATGCTTTCTGTGTGTCAGGCACTGCTATCAATGATTTGCACTTATTACTCATTTCATTTTCATGACAACACCATGCGGAAGGTACATGATTATTCCCATTTTCAGGTACAGAAACTGAGCCAGAGAGATCAGCTAGTCCAAGCTCACACAACTAGTAGGTGGGAAATAGGAGGTACAAAACTTGGCTTCAGAACCCCCATTTTTGACTATCAGGGAATGTTACCTCTTTTAATAAATTGGATTAAACAACGTTAGATTTTTTTTTTTAACTGCATGGCATTTTAGGGCTTGGCATTGCTTAAGGGGCAGTGTGACCCTCCTAGTTGAGGACTGTAGTAAACATTATTTCCCAAATGTCCTTGATATCAAGGAGACGTCTCTAGGGCCGTTTCATGGGCTTGATGTTCGGCGGAACACAGAAGGGGAGACACCGTTCTGCACCGTCTGCAGATGGAGATGGCCAAGGCAGGGGCCCTCGCGCACGTTCTCAGCGGCAGCCTTGCTGATCTCCGCAAGAAGTGGCGCTGCGGCTTTGGCAGCTGATTGTCGAGAAGATACCGTTTCTTCTTGTGACTACATGCTTCCCTTTCTGGTCAGAATGGCACAACAGGAGTGTGATCGACCTTTAATGCCCTGGTACACACGGAACCAGCCAGAGGCCCAGCAAGTCCCTGACTGAGCAGAGCCTTCTTACCTTGCACCTGTTCCCAGTTTTATTCAGTTGGGTTTCATCACGCTAAACACGATGTCCCTAAGCAGTAACGTGGCAAAAAGTTCTGCTAATAGATTCAACCATCTGGCTCAGCTCTGCTTCTTTCCTAACTTACAGCTGGACTCCCACTGCGAATGCCCCGGAGGAGTCTTCCTTGGAAACTCTCCTCAACTAAAGATAGGGCTATGGGCTGCCCTTGGGGACAGAGGATCTAGGATCCAGTTGGTGCAGCTTTATGACTTGCTCTTATGTATATATTTTAATAATTATTCTTTAAACAGATCATAGAGGCATGCGGCTTAAAAGAAAACCACAAAAGTTGCACAAGGATTTGTCTCCTTTTAAATTAAAAGATATTGTATCAGCCCCGAATAATTAAAATTTTGTATCTTTGAATATCAAAAAAAAAAAAGACAGGGTCGGAGTGTTCCGTAGCCTTTGTCGCTGAGTGGAGGAATCCTCTCTGTTCATTGTCACGCCGTGCCTCCTTAACTCCAGCTCCATCCAGCGGCTCTAGGCCATCCAAGCTGTGTGGATGGGATTTTCAAGGGCCTAGAGCCACAAATTGAAGACTCCACTCTACAAGCATTTGAATGTTCCCACAAACATTATTATTATCCTTTCAAAAATCCTCGCAATAACTCCGGTCTTAAAGGTGAAGAGAGCTAAGTGCTGTGGGCACGCTTATGTGACGGCCAAAATGTGGTTTTGAGCCTTTGTCTTCTGATTCCGAGTCTGTTCTATCTTCCACCTCATGACCATTACGCCAGAGAAAATGTCCAATGGCCCTCTTTGACAACGTTATCCTCCAGAGAACCACAGCCTTTAAGCATGGGAGTAGTATGCGTGACGTTCTCAAGCATCATGGATCCTGGAAAATAAGTTGAGCTCATCCGATTACAACTGTAGATCAATGCTGGATGGTTTAGTAATATGGTAGAAATATATAGAAAAGAAGAAATAGAAAGCTTGGTAGAGTTTATCTACTGCCACACCACCTGATAATTAGGATTGGCCAGGACTGTTTCCTCAACTCTAGATGCTCTTGAAATCTTGCACTATTCAGTGGG